TTCAGGCACATGCTACAATATGAATGAACCTCTAGGACAGTAGGCTACATAAAATAAGCTAGTCACAAAAAGACAAATACTGTGTAGTTGCATGCATATGAGATGCCTATAGTAGTCAAATTCCCAGAGAGAGAGAAAAATAAAATGGTGGTTGCCAGGGAATGAGGGGATAGGGGAATGGGGAGCTGTTTAATAAGCATGGAGCTTGGTTCATGGGCTAAAAAGGATTCTGGAGATTGGTTCACAACAATGTAATTATACCTAACAGTCCTTTGTTGTACATTTAAAAGTGGTTAAGGTTGGGTGAGATGGCTCATACCTGTAATCCCAGTACTTTTGGAGGCCAAGACAAGAGGATTGCCTGAGCCCAGGGGTTCAAGACCAGCCTGGGCAACTTGGCACGACCTTGTCTCTACGATAAATCAAAAAACTAACTGGGTGTGATGGCACATGCCTATAGTTCCAGCTACTTAGAAGGCTGAGGCAGAGGGATCGCCTGAGCCCCTTGTAGGTTGAGGCTGCAGTGTCCAAGAGTGTGCCCCCTAACTCCAGCATGGGAGACAGCTGAGTGAGACGCTGACTCAAAAAGAAAAAGTGGTTAAGATGGTAAAGTTTATGTTACGTGTAATTTACTGCAATTACAAATAAACAAAAAACAGCACACAACAGGCATTTATGACCTAACTGGATACTGGCTTCTTTTTTTTTTTTTTTTTAATGCCTATTATTTAGAGCATCACTTGCTCACTGCAGGTCGATTTAAAAAAAAAAAAATTGCCTCTGGCATAAAAATCACATTTCAGTTTGTCCTCCCTGATGCTGACTCACTTCACTTGTGCTTAGAGCCGTTTTATGTAAATGAGATTCAGGGTGAAGGGGGTAAAATCTTCTCCCCCTCTAAGCCACGCTAATGTAATTTCTGGCTTGGAGTAGTGTGCATGCTTCCAGGAATGACTGCTCGCTTCTGTCTTGGTTTTGAGGTGGATATAAACATTAGGACATATCATATGGAATTTAGAGCTATTATTCTAGAATAAATTTATGATTACAGGGCTCTGTAATTACTATATTTGTTCTGCATTTTTGAGCCATTGCTTACATATGTCAGAGTGAATGGATTTTATTTCTAAATGGTCATTGATTGTGTGTCCTTAAAAGGACATACATGTTCAGTCAACCATTCTTTCTCTACTTAGCAGAGGTTCCAGAAACTACGAGGATGTGGTTGATGGAAGACTTGGAAAAAGATGTTAGGAGAAAAGAAAGGGGAAATTAGATATGTGTTTCCTAGTCCACTTGGTCTTGTTCCTTCCAATCCCATGAACGTCCTCATTCACTGAACAAGTATTTCTTGATTTCCTACTAGGTACCATGCACAAGGGGACGCGATAGCAAACAAGGTAGCCTCCGTGCCTGCCCAGTGGAGCTGGGAAAGACAGACATGATGGCAGGTGTGGAAAGTGCTGTGAAGCGGTTGGAGCCCCTGCCCTGAGTGGGGGTGCTGGGGATAGTCCCTGACATGGTCCTTGAGGAAGTAGTATTTAAACTGAGACCTGATAATGAAGTCAAAAGCCAGCTTGCCTCACGGGTTTCTGGAATCTTTGAATTTTAATGATGGATGAACATTTTCCATAAACATTTAGCTGGGAGAGAATAGGATGACATTTCAGATGAATTCAGGGGTGTGAGTGATATATGCAAAGCGGATTGAGGGGCACGTCAAGACCCCCAGAAAGATGGAAAGCAGGAAGTAGGAGGCAAGTCATAAGAGACAAAAATGAGACTTAAGGACACTAAGTACAAGCTATGGACTTGATCTAGATCTATCTAATGATGTTTAAAAATAATAACAATCTGGCTGTGTGTGAATGGTGAGTAAGGGTGAAGAAAACCCAGAGGTGGCTAAGCCAACTGAGAATCTGTTTTGATATTTCAGACATGCAGTGCTGATTAAAAGCAAGAGCTGGATACTAAAAGAAAAAAAGATCTGCTGTCCATAAAAATGTTTGAGCTCCTAAATCACAAGGAGCTTTAATCCTTTTTAGAAAAGGCAAGGCTTGAAGACGTCTTGAAATACTATAAAGATATTATTATTGATACAGAGGCAGAGTCATGTCCAATGAAGTACATGTTTCACCACATGACTGGGACTTATTTACAGGGCTGCATAGTGAGCAGGCCATCATGATTTGGCCCTGAAGGGACAATATGTTGCTAGGGAGATTGATGCAGGCAGATATTTCAATTTAATTCTTTCCAGTGACTGGGCCGCTTTATTGAATAAAAGAATTTGAAATCTTCATGCCCATCCAAAAATGGAATCTGGAATGTGAATTGACTTTCTGTGTGACTTATACTGTTATTCATTCCCATGCAGTGGAAATTAGAGATAGAAGAAAATCCAGTAAGTAACTCATGAATTATTTGCTTGGAAAGAATTATTTCCTAATCTGAGTTCAATGAGATCTTTTCTTTTATTTTAGCAATGGAAAAAAGTGAATAACAAACACTACTACTTGTGCTTGATTTTTATTACTCATTCTGGCTGTTTGGGGAACAAACATGGTTCCTTGAAGGCTAATACACAGAATTTCCCCTCTAAATATTTCTGGCAAAGTTTTCCTCTGTTGGATAGTAGTCTCTGAAGAAATGTCAAATTGGGAAGAGAATTTAAAGGATTTCAGAGGCTGAATTACATCACCTCACTGAGACACATTTACACCATTTAAGGAAATCTTTTTTATCCATGATATTTTGTTTTTGAAGATTACTACATGAAAACAGCTTCTCAGGCAAAATCTCAGCCACTCTCACCCCCTTGGATCTGACTCATCATGGACACAATCCAAAAGTTACCTTCCTATTTAAGTTACTATATTTGTAAAACACAATTCTTTATTATAGACTCTCTGGATGAGTAACTGTAATGCAAATCGGAACCCAGTAGGGTAACTTTATCTGTATAAACAGAACCAATATGTCTTCACTTTCTAGCCATATTTAGGCTTTGCTTTACACATGCCTGAAGTTGAACACCAGCTTTGCCATTTCCACACTGAATTTGGGTCAGATTTATCTTCATTTTCTCAGTCGCCCAGGTTCAACAATTTGGAATCACTGCTGGTTGTTCTCTATTCTTCTTCAGTAATAATGGCCAACCTGCTGAGTATTTATTAGGTGCCAGGTTCTATGGTGAGCCCTTTACATAGAATCCCCACAATAATTACTTTAAGTATATACTGCTATCTCCTCATTTTATAACTGAGGAAACATCTTACAGAGATTGACTTATTCGAGGTCACATAGTAAGTGGTGGAGCTAAGATAGCAAGCCAGGAATGCAATACAAGAGCTAAAATTTTTAGCCAGTTTTTCTATACTGTTTCCCAGTAAGAGCATCATGTTGATCTGTGGATTCACTTGTTCATTCATTCATTGATTCCTTCATTCCACAAACACTTCTTAAGCAACCATTTAAAATCAGAGACTTATGAACTGCTAGCAGTTAATTAAAGCAAGGCCCTTGCCCTAACAATTCAGGGAACCAAACATATTTTTTAAAAGTTAAAGCATGATATAAGCATTCTATGAATGATATTTTTGTTCTTTTTCCCATAAATTTGAATGCTTTTAGTTGCAAATAAATGGAAACTTCACTAATGAAAACTTGAACACTATGGAAATGTACTTATATCACAGGACCTATTCAGTAGCTCAAGTATGCCATTAAGAACTAGAACACTTTTAACTCTTCTGCTTCACAATTCACAGTATATCAGAGGGAGAGAGAGAGGAGAGAGAGAGAGAGAGAGAGAGAGAGAGAGAGAGAGAGACCCCTCCTCATGTTCACAAAATGACTGCTGTGGTACCAGACATCATGTTCTCCCACTACAACATTTAAAGCAGAAAGGAAGGAGATGAACAGAAAAGAGTGATATCTTTATACCTACTCTCTATTTTATTAGGGAATATTTTTTCACCAGAAGCATCCAACAGACTGTTCCTTCTGTCTCGGTGGATAGAACTTGGGTTACATGCCCACCTCTATATCACTTTCTGACAAATGGTGCCTTCAAAAACAAAATCAGGGTTGTGTTAACAAGGAAAAGGGGGTATGGCTAGAGGGTACGTAACCAATGGTGTTCGCCATACCCCTTTTCCAATATGAGTGTTAAAACAGAAGTCTATAGAAAGCGTCAAAGCATATATAAATGTTTTACTCTACCCAGAATAACTAGTGATGGCTTTTAAGAGAATGGGACATTTATGCTGGGGCCTTAAAGAGTAAGTAGAAGTTTATCAGGCAAAGGACAAACATCTCTAAATCAGGAATGAGTGAACCTTAAAGAGTATTTAATACAAACTCCACTCAACACTTTGCATCCCCCTCATAGTAATTTTCAAATCTGACAATTCTTTCCATGACCCATGCCTCCAGCCCACTCAGAGTGACTTCTTGCATAGCCTTCTTGCTTTCGCCAACAGTGATATGTGGTTAGGAGAAACAAAATAATATAAATACAAGAAATACATTTTTAGCCAGGTGATCAGATGCTCTTTTGGTCAAAACAGATAACAAAGGACAAAATAAAAATAATGTAAGGGGCCTTGAATATTTGTTTATTTTCCATGTATCTTTCTCCCTCTTTCCATCCCCCTAATATCTTTTTTTTTTTTTTTTTGAGTCGAGGTCTCACTCTGTCACCCAGACTGGAGTAGAGTGGCATGATCGTGGCGGCTTACTGCAGCCTCAACCTCCTGGGCTCATGTGATCCTTCTGCGTCAGCCTTCCGAGTAGCTGGGACTACCGGTACATGCACCACCATGCCTGAATAATTTTTTGATTTTTTGTAGAGACAATATCTACTATGTTGCCCAGGCTGGAAAATGTTCTTTAAAGCTTAGCTAGCCTCTTATTTTATTTTTATTTAATGTAGAGATGGGATCTTGCTATGTTGTCCAGACTGGTCTCCAACTTGTGGCCTCAAGCAATACTCCCACCTTGACCTCCCAAAGTGCTAGGATTACAGGAGTAAGCCACCACACCTGACCATTCCATTTTCCTTCTTTATAAACTATCTCACTCTTTTTTTTTTTTTAGGGAATGCCAACCTTGAAAAACTAGAACTTACTTGGATTTTTCTGGAAGCAATGACATGGAAACTGAGGACAGACTAAAGAGTTTCACTTGCTCTTTATTCAGTATTAAAACTATATTAATTATCCTTTGCTGTGAAACAAATTATCCCCAAACTTAGTAACTTAAAACAACAATAAGCATTTATTGTTTCATATGGTTTCTGTAAGCCAGGAATTCAGGGGTACTTCAGCTGGGTGGCTTTGGCTCAGGGTCTCTCATGAAGTTATAATTAAGAAGTCCTGGCCAGGTGCGGTGGCTTACACCTATAATCTCAGCACTCTGGGAGGCTGAGGCAGGAAGATTGCTTGAGCCCAGGAGTTCAAGACTAGCCTAGGTAACATAGTGAGACCTTGTCTCTACAAATAATAATAATAATAAAGATAGCTGGGCATGGTGGCATGTATCTATAGTCCTAGCTACTTGAGAGGCTGAGGTGGGAGGATCACCTGAGCCCAGGAGATTGAGGTTGTGGCAAACTGGGATTGTGCCACCGCACTCCAGCATGGGCAACAGAGTGAGATGGAAGGAAGGGAGGGAGAGGAGATGAGAGGGGAAGGAGGGGAGGGGAGGGGAGAGGAGGGGAGGGGAGGAAGAGAAGTCTGCTAGGGCTTCAGTGATATAAAGGTGTCTTGACTGGGGCTAGAGGATCTGCTTCCAGCATGAATCACTTTCATGGCTGCTGGCGGAGGCTGCCGTTCTCTCCATGTGACTTCTTTATAAGGTACTTGATATATCCTAGAGAGGAAGATTAAAGTGGCAGAGAAAATATGGATTGTTAGATGATGTTAGGATAACTAGATTACTACATGAGATAAACTTGGATCTTTGTTTTATCTCATACATAAAGGAAAACATCATACAGATTAAGGACTTACATATAAAAGGTACGATTATAGAAGTAATAGAAGAAGACATAAGTCTTTGAGAGCCTGGGTGGGAAATGATTTCTTAAGCAAGATCTTCAAAGCACAAAATATGGGTGAAAAAATGATGATTTGGACCACATTAAAATTTTCTGCCCAACAGAAGATATCAGAGACAAGTTAACAGATGAAACACAGACAAGAAAAAGACATTTGCAATGTTTGACTAATAAATAAGAGACTTCTGCAAATCAACACAGAAAAAGCAGGAAACACGACAATAAAATGGTAAATGGTTTGAACATACACTTTATTGGATGGAGAAAGTTGAAGGTTTATGAAGAGATGCTCAAACTTTCTAATGATTATGGAAGTGCAAATTGAAATGCCAATCATATACTTCTACATAAGGTTGGCAAAATTTAATGAATAAAACCAAGTGTTGTTGGCCAGGTGTAATGGTTCATGCTTGTAATTCCAGTGCTTTGAGAGGCCAAGATTGGAGGATTGTTTGAGGCCAGTAGTTTAAGACCAGTGTCTGCAACATACTGAGACCCCCCACCTCTATAAAAAAAATTTTAAAATTAGCTGGGCGTGGTGGCATGTGCCTGTGGTCCCAGCTACTTGGGAGGATTGCTTGAGCCCGAGAGATGGAGCTGCAGTGAGTTACGATTGCACCACTGTACACCAGCCTGGGAGATGGGACAAAACCATGTCAAAAACAAATAAACAAACATGTTTTTTAAAAAGTTTAAGGAAGGTTACATCTCATGAGAAACTGTCATACAAACTTGTAGGGAACGTGTCCATGACAATGCTGCTGTGATAAGAGCTCACTGCAGGCACCCTAGGAGTCCATCATCAGAGAAGTAAAGACTATGCTTCCTAGAGACAGAAAATAGTTTAGTGGGTAGTTTCTAGGGACCAAAGTAGGAAGAATGGGAGTGAATACTAATAGATTTGTGTTTTCCTTTGGGGATGTTATCAATGTTCTGGAATCAGATGGTGGTGACTGTTGTACAACGTTGTGAACATGCAAAAAACCTGTCAATTGTTCACTTTAAAAACAACTAAAAAGCCGGGCTTGGTGGCTCAGCCTATAATTCCACGCTTTGGGAGGCTGAGGTGAGTGGATTGCCTGAGCCTGCGGGTTTGAGACCTGCCCGGG